GGCTCAGCCGCCGAGCTGGACGACAAGGAGAAAGGGCCGTCGGAGGAGAAGAAGGGGGTGTCGGAAGGGGCCAAGGAGGCCGGCGGCGGGGATGGCGGGGGAAAAGAGGGCGAGAAGAAGAACGGCAAGTACGAGAAGCCGCCCTTCAGCTACAACGCGCTGATCATGATGGCCATCCGTCAGAGCCCGGAGAAGCGCCTCACCCTCAACGGCATCTACGAGTTCATCATGAAAAACTTTCCGTACTACCGGGAGAACAAGCAGGGCTGGCAGAACTCCATCCGCCACAACCTCTCGCTCAATAAGTGCTTCGTCAAGGTGCCGCGGCACTACGACGACCCGGGCAAAGGCAACTACTGGATGTTGGACCCGTCCAGCGACGACGTCTTCATCGGGGGCACCACCGGCAAGCTCCGGCGACGTTCCACCACCTCCCGGGCCAAGCTGGCCTTCAAGCGAGGCGCCCGCCTGACCTCCACCGGCCTGACCTTCATGGACCGGGCGGGCTCCTTATACTGGCCCATGTCTCCCTTCCTGTCCCTGCACCATCCGCGGGCCAGCAGCACGCTGAGCTACAACGGGAGCACGTCAGCTTACCCCAGCCACCCCATGCCCTACAGCTCGGTCCTGACCCAGAACTCCTTGGGGAACAACCACTCCTTCTCCGCCTCCAACGGCCTGAGCGTGGACAGGCTGGTCAACGGCGAGCTGCCCTACGCCACTCACCACCTCACGGCGGCGGCCCTGGCCGCCTCAGTGCCCTGCGGCTTATCGGTGCCGTGCTCGGGCACCTACTCCCTCAACCCCTGCTCGGTCAACCTCCTGGCGGCCGGCCAGACCAGTTACTTTTTCCCACATGTCCCTCACCCCTCCATGACTTCGCAGAGCAGCTCTTCCATGACGGGCCGGGCCGCCTCTTCCTCCACCTCGCCGCAGGCGCCCTCCACGCTCCCGTGTGAGTCCTTAAGACCCTCCTTGCCGAGTTTCACCACAGGATTGTCGGGGGGACTTTCTGATTATTTCACACATCAAAATCAGGGGTCTTCCTCCAACCCGTTAATACATTAACCTCCAGGGGAGCCAAGACTGTAAGTGAACATTTTACACACCTTTGCGTTGTAAATGATAGTGAAAGGAGAGCGAGAGCGAGCGAGCGAGCGAGCGAGAAAGAGCACGAGAGCGAGACTATAAAAGAACAAAACAGAAAGGAAAACAAAACAAAAACAAAAACTCACCCAGGAAAAAAAAAAGAGTCCAGGTATTTTTTATTAAGTTTTCCCCTCTCCCCCATTTTCTGTACGTTTGTTCAGTTTTTAGGGTTGTTTATGATTCCAGCAAAGGGAGGCGAGTCAGCAATTTACAAAGATGGGAAGAATACCTCGTAGACAATGCGTTTGGGAAGAAAGGAGTATTAATATTAAAACTAAAACTCGTAGGATGTATATCTGAATTGCTTTTGGCCATTTTGACTCCGGTAGGAAACGCTGGGCTGCTAGATTTTCCATGTTTGCAGTATTATAAGTTACCATGAATATGTTGGTGGGTGCAGATAATGGGAATAAAAATACAAAATTGAGAAATCCCACGATGCAAATGGTCATTTGTATAAGATGCAAAACAATTTGGCAGAGAAGTTCAAGAATTATGTTTTAACCATGGATTCTTTTGCCCTCCACTTTTTTAAGAAGAGCTATTTTCCCCTCTTTATTTTTTTCCTCCTTTTTGTTTACTTTTAGACCAAAGATTGGGTTTTTAGAAAATGCACTCAGTACGCAAAATGTTTTCTTTTCTTTAAAATAAAGTACCATACGTCAGAATGATATAATTTCAGTTTTGCAGCACTGCCCATTTCAGTGAATCCGAGGGGACAGAAAATCATGAATTGCCTTCAGTTTGTGTTGTGTATATTTAGATGTATGTGGTCACTAACAGGTCACCTTTATTTTTTTTAAATGTAGTGAAATGTTAATACCTATTGTACTTATAGGTAAACCTTGCAAATATGTAACTTGTGTTGCGCAAATGCCGCATAAATTTGAGTGATTGTTAATGTCGTCTTAAAAAAATCTTGATTGTGATACTGTGGTCATATGCCCGTGTTTGTCACTTACAAAAAAAAAATGTTTACTATGAACACACAGAAATAAAAAATAGGCTAAATTCATATATATTTGATAGTTCTTTTGTCTCTTTTATCCAGGCGTTTTAATACCCAAAAGGCTTTTAAAACTGTAGAAAACTAAAGCTGTTAGGGCTGAATTTCCCTCCAGATGCTGCTGCTTTTGTGGTATGACCAAAGAACGAGGCAGAAAAGAAATGCAACATGGCCCGTTTGTTTCTGCTTTCAGTTTAGGAATCAGTAAAATGCTGCTAAGTTTTCAATTAAACAGTTTGCAGGGGCTGCCACAGAACCAGGGCGTTTTGTCCTACCATGAGGTTGATGTTTTCGTTGTTTGCCTGGTTAGCTCCTGGCTTTAACTTGAAGCAGTTTTCCTTGCAAGGGCTAGTTGTGTGGAGGCGATATTAATGGCCATTTGAACGCAACTACGGCATCCTTAGCTGCTGTCATTCAAGCCTCCAGCATCTGAGCCACACTTATTGCGGAAGTAAACCTCATTGACTTTAATAAGACCTTGCAATCTTAGCCTTGCCGGTAAATAAACCCAGCTGAACTCGGCAGGGCCTAGCGGCTTAGGTTTGGGGCTCTCCCTTGAGCATTTGGAGGCAAAGCAGACCTTCTGGCCCTTTGTGAGTGTAGAGGTGTGAACAGTATGAATGTTGTGTCTGTACAGTTATAGACATAAGCAGCTCTCGCTATTCCATTTCTAAATTTGAGAAGGTGCTGCGTATACTTCTGATGCCAGTTTTTAAAAGTCTTCTAGAAGTGCGTTTTTGTTTGGAGGGGCCATTTGGTGCCTTGTCTGTCCTTCCTTCCTTCCTTCCTTCCTTCCTTCCTTCCTTCCTTCCTTCCTTCCTTCCTTCCTTC